TGTATATATATAATAGGATCATCAGAACGCCCCTTCAGAAGTTTGGGTCGAGTCATGTCGAGTCCCCCTTGCTCGCTCCTCAGCCTGTACACTTGAGAGCTTGGGGGATTCTGCTAGCATCACCTGCCCAGGGCGGTGCGTCTGAAGCGATCCTGGTGACACCTACTGACATGGGCTTACTGTACTCATGTTCAGTGTTCATGGTTACACATCACATTCCTCAAAGAAAGGAACTGCTGCTAGGATCCCCTCGCGAGCATCTCAGCAACAAGGTGACACTTTGAGCGAAAAGGACCTCGTGACACACTGTAAACGCTACAGCCGCTACAGGGCATCAGGGCAAAACCTGTCCCTGGAGCTTTGGGCTTTCATGAGGCTCTCATGGCAACACACACAAATCAACCTGTCCACAAGAATTCCTGGGACACCAATATGTTCAATAAAATGATCTCCAAACTGTCAGGGCACTGACTGTATTCATTTGTACCTCATTTGTACCTAATGGTCCTCCCAACAAGCCAGCCAGCCATTCAAGCAAAATCACGACACACTCTCTCCATTATGAACACCTATTGACCCATTAACGACTTACCACTTGCCAACATGCGCTGCTAGGACATAGGTGTGGGATGATGCCCCGTGCATTCTCTGAAGTGTATATATATATATATACCAAGTTCTCCCTGTTGAAATGCTTTTTGCATCACAAGACCTGTGTGTAGGGATGTTGTGAAACCATTCGGTTATCACCAATCTTTCCATGCACAACGTAGAAAAACGTTGGCAGCACTTGTGATGGGAAATCCGCCCGCACCGAAGGTGCCGAGGCGTTTTTGTAGGGCACGCATTATACCGCAAGTACCGCAAGTACTAATAGCTTTAGCTAGGGGGTGCCATTTTCGCTCTAGAGTCCTGTGTTTTTTCACGTTTTTGGAACCGGCTTAAAGTGCTGGAAGATAAATTCGTGCTAATTTTTGCTATCTTGAAGCCTTTAGTGATGCAAGAAATGCAATTTTCTGCTTTGCATCATCTGCATCATCTGAGCGGTAAAGTGTAATTGGACTGAGGCCGGACATTTGGCTGAACAGGTTCCCCTAACGGGGCTCAACATAGCTTCCATATTGCGTGACATAGCCCTAGAAGTCACTATCTGACGGACGTGTCTGCGAGATAGGTACTTGAACGTCGTAAACATGGCCCAACGAAGGCTCAAAAGGGACTGGAATAGAGTGAAGATATTGCCTAACATAGCCCTAGAAGTCACAATCTAAAGGACGTGTCTGCGAGATAGGGACTTGGACGTCGTAAACTGGAATGAAAAAACCCCCCTAACGTGGCCAAACATAGCTTCCATATTGCCTGACATAGCTTTAGAAGTGATATTTGGCTCCACAGGAGCAGAGATAAGCAGAGATCACGTCCAGGAACGGTAACATTTTCGCACGAGCAGAGCGTGCATATGATCGAACATAGCCCCAGAAATCACTATCTCAAGCATGCTTCTTCGAGATAGGGACTTCAACGTCGTAAATATGGCCCAACGAGGGCTCAAAAGGGACTGGAAAAGCCTGCAAAGTCACTATCTCAAGCATGTCTCCTCGAAATAGGGACTTGAACGTCCGGGTACGTGGCTGGTCAGGAGCAGAGATAAGGAAAGATAAGGTCCAGGAATGGTAACATTTTCTCACGAGCATAGCTTCCATATGATCGAACATAGCCCCTGAAGGCACTATCTCAAGTATGTTTTCTCGAGATAGGGCCCCGAACGTCGCAAACACCCTCTCCATCTTCCATATTGCCTAACATCTATTTGGCTCCACAGGAGCAGAGATAAGCAGATCAAGTCCAGGAACGGTAACATTATCTCACGAGCATAGCTCCCATATGGTCGAACATAACCTCAGAAGTCACTATCTCAAGTATGCTTCCCCGAGATAGGTACTTGAACGTCGTAAACATGGCCCAACGAAGGCTCAAAAGGGACTGGAATAGAGTGAAGATATTGCCTAACATAGCCCTAGAAGTCACTATCTAAAGGACGTGTCTGCGAGATAGGGACTTAAACGTCGTACGAACAGGACATATCTTTACTTTATTCCGGTCCTGGTTCGGCCATGTTTGCGACGAGTCCCGGTCTCGAGGGAACATGCTTCAGATAGTGACTTCTGGGGCTATGTTCGGCAATATGGGAGCTATGTCGGGCCACGTTAGGAGAACACGTTACCGTTAATTGACCTTATCTCTGCTTATCTCTGCCCCTGTTGAGCCGAATGTCCGGCCTATCTTGCGCGATCTTGAGCTACCTTGAGAAAAGATACATCAATTTGCGACGTTCAAGTCCCCATCTTCCTTTCATACTGACTCCCTTGGCTCCGAACCCGTTCCAGATCGTGTTCCTTCCTGAAGCTCTCTCACCGCTTACCCGACCCGCTAAATGGCAGCAGTCTTTTAACCCCCCAACTACTTTGGGCCATGTTAAATCCCTATCTCGAAACATGGACCCTATGCTCGGCCACGTTGGGGAGCGGGGGGGGGTCACTTCCGGGGCTATGTTCGGTGGAAATATTGGCCCCTTCCATGCGGTGCGGGCGGTTACCGTCGCGAAGCGACGTGAATAGGCCTGTCACGGAGGTGCTCTGCTGAATGACTGTTGACTGTTGATGAATTACAGTAAAACCATTTACATCCGGCTGATTAAAAGATATTAAAAGCACCTAGTACCTACATGGTTTAACATCTTCATATGGAAGCTTTACTTATCAACGACCGCTCGGGCGAGCTGCCTTCGACATAGTGGCCGAAGATGAATTGACCCCGGCTGAGCCCAAGCAGGGACAGCGGTAAGCGCAAATGCATGTGTGTGTGACAGCACGATCCAAAAGTCAAGGACTCCAAAAGATTCTGAGTCATGGCATGTAAAAACACCCTAACGGTGAGGGGCGCTCAAATCTTCAAAATAGAGTCTTAGAGCATAACCTTTCTGTTTGAAGGAAATCAATCTGGTGTCCATGGCCCAGTCCGTGAAGGGACTAGATCAAACTCGTGGTCCTTGGAACCGCAGGACCCACCAGACCCACTAGCCACAAGGGTGCTTCGGGGAGAAACAAACGGGTTTCGGAATCCAACAGGTTCTTTGATGCCTTGCGCAAAAAGTAAAGAACATACAAACCAAATCGCTGCACCTCTCCCATAGCGAACCGACTCCGCACCACTCCACGAAGCCACCCATCATGCTCCCCAATCAGGGCATAAAGGGTCTTGATGGGAATCTAAATGGCAACAAATCTTCAGAAAACCCTCCAAAACATGCCCAATTGCAACATACTTGTTGGATGAACCATGCACCCCTCAAAAAATATCCCCTGAACCCTGAACCATCCCCGTGCAGGCGCGAGACACCTCGCCGATACCGACAGACCAGCATCCGTGCCTGGCACCTCCAATGACGACAGCCACCTGCGAGGGTGTCTGAAGCAGCACAACTGCGGTCGTGCCACGCAACGACCGAACAACATCCAACGCGATCCAACAATTCCAGCATGTGACCTTTGGAATCATAGAAAAAATGAAAAAGTCTGTCAGAGGTGGGTGTTTGAGTTTGAGGCCTTAGCTCGCAAAAATCAATCGTTTCAGGCCTTCAGATGCCTTCGGCATCCTTCGGCTAATTTGTTGAGAAGCATTCGGTGAGCTGAGCCCATAAGCTTCGCACTCAGCGTCCAGCCCGCCTGCAGGTTGCGGTGGAAATATCACCTGCCGGATGCACAAAAAGCGGAAGTGCGTGTTTGGAGGGTCCAAAAGTCCGTGGGTCCGTCAAGTGGAAAATGGCTGTGCAGGTTACGAAGATAGGTCAACAACCTCATCAAGTCCCGAAGATTCAAGTTCCGAAGATTCAAGTTCCCGAGACATTGCGCCCGCTGCTGGCATACCCTCAACCATTTGCACATGGCACTCAGACTCGCAAACTATTTTGGAAGACTTGGAGACAAAATAACAAATGGATTGGATACCAACCAGTCAGGGTGCTGTGATGGGAGATTCCCCTCGGCTGCGTCAAATGGGGTAGGATGGGGCAGGCAACTCGCCAAACACTGAGCATTGTTATGCATTTTAACATTTTGCAAGATTTGCGCCTCCGGAATCAGACCGAGACCCTACCAAATCAACCGGAAAACATGAGAAAAGAATCCTTTACGAGCCAGTGTCCAGCAGTTTTGGTGTGGATATATGTCAATGGTGTTTCCAGAGGAGAGATCTCCAGAGTTGTCCACCCGAGAGTGGATGGCCGTGGATGACCGTGGATTACCTATCACGAACTCAAGGCATCTGATCTCCTACAAGTTGACAAACGCTTGATGGAAGAAGTCCAGCACCACCTAACTCTACACAATAATGTTATTTGAGTATTTCATCAACGTTGTACATTCCGTATCATGTCCTCCTTCCACCGATTCTTGGTCAATCCACCTGCATGTGCGCCCACTGCAAAAAATATGCCATCCAAGCAGCTGATCCGAATCCGAAGCCACGTGCCCGCATTTAAACCTCAACGGTCTTACATGGGTTTCGGGATGCATTGGGGATTTTCAGAAACTGATTGACCCCTCATGCCCCAAATACAATAACACTGACAGAAATTGCGCAATCCACTCATTTCTGTGACATTCATCATCCTCCATCACTCAAGCGGTGTATAGGACCAATCTGACTCAATGCGAGTGTTCAAAGTATGACATAAATGTACAGTAGTAGTTAGGTATATATGTACAAATAAAAGAATAAAAAATACTATATTATTGATATTATACAGTAGGCGCTGACTTACACTGAGGATCGGTCTACCATGAGTTCCCTTTCATTCTTCAGGCAAACTGCTTTGCGATCCTGTGGCCAAGATGTGCAGTCTTACTTTTTGTTGCGCTAGTGACTAGTGATCCTATTCTTGTAACCTGTTGGCGGGGATATGCGGCGATGGCCGCCGAGGTCTGGAAAGGTCGGAACTTTTCTTTCAAACTGCACCGCTGGTGTGTCTGTAGTGCAACCTGCCACAACAGCACAAGCTGAGACAAGTGACAAGTGTGCAATCAAATGAGGAGGCTGCAGCACTTGCAGCGCAAACAAGCTCCCCTCACTTCTTCACTTCTTGATGGTGCCCTTCAGCACAACTGTGCCCTCATCCAGGCCATACTTCTTGATGACCTTGCGATCATGGAGCATGTCAAACTCCTCCGTCGCATCTTTGCCGGCAAACATCATAATGGATTTTTTGCCGCCGGGATGTTCACCTTGCAGCAACTTTGGAGAAATTCCATGCCAAACTCAGATCACATCACGGACGATGGCTAGAGAAAAGACATGAACCTGAATCTATACCAACAGCCACAACTTCTCGGAGAATATCTGAAGAAAAAGCAGGCACCTCAAATCAATCTGTAAATGTCCAAGTGGCTCAGAAAAGCCGTGACGTCAAGCACTTGGTCACCCACAATCACCCAGCAGTCGCTGTCCTTATTGTGCTTAGCCACCTCCTCAGCACTGACGGACATCTTGCAAACAGCTATATAGCGGCAACGGGCTTGCGAACTGAAAGGCTTTGGAAAAGATCTTGAGCCAAAAATCCTCGCCCAAACATGCGGCCCTTTCGGGGCAAAGCTGGTCATGCCGCAGGAATCCAGCCGTGAGCGAGAGCTGTTCAGGGGAGGTGTTTCTGTTTGGCAGAGCGCCTCTTCACATCAGTATTGGAGGCTACCCCTAAGCTCTTAAGCATTCACGTCGCTCGGGGCGTGGGGATCAGGTTATACATGAGCGATTCATTATGCCAAGAAGCCTAGGAAGAAGTCAGTGACTCGAGCCAGGACCACCACCTGCCACACAGACCAAACATATTAGACCAGAACCACTGTGGAAGCCCGCAAGCGCAGGGTTGCAAAAAAGGAGCAAATACATGGTGACAAGGTGTATGTCACCTCACGTAGGTCGGTGCAAATTGGAAATCTGCGAAATCCTATCAGATTTTCATCCACCTTCCCCGCTGGGCATTCATCGATTGGGCAGATGCATCGACCGGGAAAGCCTGAACACACTGATCAGGCGCAGGCGCACCCCCGTGTGTTGAAGCCCTTGAAGTCACGTTGAGGCAGGGGAAACTTTGTTGTCAAGCTCCAATGAAACAAACAGACACACACACACACCATCTGGCATTAATTCTTCGGGTGAGTGCATAAATACAATTCTCCTATATTTTCCTTACTATGGCTACACCTGCCAGAGTGTGAAGTGGGACTTGTTGAGAAGGACAGCCTGACAACCACACAGCAGGGGCTCAATAGACTTCTGTGGGCCACCCTGTGGTGTGTGCCTCCAGGGTGCTGCCCAGTGGACACCAGCCTGGCGGGGATGGTCGAACAAAATGAGGCCCCCTTGTGATAGATGTGGATGGAGCAAAATGTCCGCAAGGGTAGTTGCCACCTTATTTGGCACGCGCAATCAGAAGCATAGCATCTTTTTCTGAGCCGCAAATGGCAGCCAACACCGCAAATTGCACAGTGAACCTTTGCCAACCTTCATCCACTCCAGACGTGGCTCGGACACTTTCAAGTCGTGGTGTTTGGCACCAAACAAGTCGGAGAAGACCCCGGCACCAGCGCCAAAGTAAACAGAATGCTCCAAAAAGGGTTGCCCGTCTCGTAGTGACAACAAGAAGCTGCTAGTAGCTCCTGGCATTACTACTAGTAATTAGCAAAAAACTACTAGTAACGAGGGCATTACTACTAGTAACCAGTAACTAGTAGCAGTGTGTCTTACTAAAATAGCAATGTGTCGTTCTTTTGCAGGAAGTGGGACATCGAGAGCGGTGCCGTGGTCCAACAGTAGGGAGCTTGCCAGCCGACAAGCGAAGCTCGCCGGTGGATGAACACCTCTAAGAAGGAACCCGCTTGGAACTTCGCAGAACAAGCGCAACAAGCTTCTCTCCACACTTCAGTGGGGACCTTCGAGTGCATGTTCGTGAAGAAAGGTGGCCTGGCCTGAAGGCATTGACAAAAGCATTGGGTCAAGCCACATGAAGGCATTGGGCCTCAAGGGTTGGGGAGAGGGGATGAAAACGCTCGTTTTGAAGATGTACCTGAAGGCATCTGAAGTTCTGAGGGCCAACATCTCTGGCAAAATATGACCAGATGATCCGCTCCACATCCAATGCCCTTTCCCACACCTTTCCACTAAGAAGGCCTTTGGCATTTGCCGCCGCTCAATTGTTCCAGAAACAGCAACAACATGTGACATGTGTCCAAAACGTTCTACACCAACATCTCACGAGGAGTTTGTAGGAGTCAAACATTGGAAACGAAACCTCTGCAGCTGCTACTAAGAAAAAAGCATTATCCCGGCAAGAGGCCCGAAACAGTGTGTGTGAGGTCTATAAGCAAACAGTCTAAAGATCTACACGCATTGGGGTCCAGAGAGGTGATGGGAGTGAGTGTGGGTGAGAGTGAGTGTGGGTGCCTGAGTGGGTGTGAGTGTGAGTGAGTGTGAGTGAGAGTGTGAGAGTGGGAGGGTGAGTGGGTGTGAGAGTGAGGAGTGTAGGTGGGAGTGGGAGAGTGAGAGGGTGTGAGTGCGAGTGTGAGTGAGAGGTGAGAGTGAGTGTGCGTGAGAGTGAGTGTGGATGAGAGTGAGTGTGAGTGAGAGTGAGTGAGTGGGAGTGCGAGTGAGTGTGAGTGTGAGTGACGAGTGAGTGTGAGTGTGAGCGTGTGAGTGAGTGAGAGTGAGGGTGAGAGAGTGAGCATCTGAACAAACTCCTGCGCCTGCGCCGACATCTGCACTTGGAAAATCACAAAGTACTGCACTTGTGTGTGTGTACCCCACTCTGTTTCTCAGAGTTCTCTCTTTTCAAGCAGGGGGCCAGCGGCCGACAAGCAAACGCTGACTAACAAAGCTACGCTTGCTCGGTGGATGCGGTCAACTATGCGGTCAGAGACGTCTGACCGTGTACCTGCAAAGAAACTGTTGCTCAAGCTGTCCACTCTTTTGTTTGTTTTTCATGGTCGTTTTCATGCTATTCCCCTAAACCTTCCCCTCCAGCGCATTCCGCTGACTTTGAATTCACAGCTGCAGTCATGCGTAAACTTTGTTCAACTTTCAATTTGAGCTGACCTTGCGCCTTTCCGTTCCATTACCTTTTTCGACTGCTCCAACGTCTCATGGACCAGCCACAGCACACTCCTCCCACCTCACCGACTCCCACATCTCCAGCGGATCCCTCACACTCCCACAATGACACCTCCCATCAACTTCGATCCCCATCCCTCCCTCCTCCACCACCTCTCTCCCCAACCTCCGCTCCTCTTGCTGCCGCCTCTGCTCCTGACGCGCGGCCGGCCGCTTCTGACGCAGCTAGTGAGGAGCTCACCACAGAGCCCACGGGAGCGTATTTTTTGTGATTCGCTTGTGAATCTCACCTATTGCATCTTCCATGTATGAGCACCATCGGAAGTTTCACCCCAGTCTCCTCGGCGCGCCACAGAAAAATTGTTCCTTCTTCACTCAATACAACCCAGAGGACCGCATCGAGTGTACTTTCGTGGCTTTTCGCAATCACTCAACCGACATTTGATCTCTATTACGAGTTTTGCCCACCTTTTAATGTCAGTCGGACATATTTCCCCTTTCCCTCTCACACGCTGCGTGTCACGTTTTTCTGCTTGTGTAGTAACCTAAATCAATCTTTTTGATGCTTGATTGACTCTTCCCGATGTTTCCGTCTCGGAGACCATTTGAATTCTACAACAAGCAAGATTTTTCATTACAATTTTCTTTTCCTCCACAGGTTTTCTTGCTGAGATTTCAATTTCCTGACTTCCATCTTTGACCATCGACTGATGGCCACCAGCAGAGCCCTCAACGAACAATTCGACATGGGCGAAAACGACAGTCCCGGAGAGACAACTGACCATGGGGAACAGCCGCACCCGAAACTTCCCATTACTTACCAGGCAACCCGATGCCCTACATGGCACCGTCCGTCACACATCAGCCGGAACTCCTCCTCGTGCACTGGATGCTCGACATGCTACAGAGCCTTATCAGCATGATCCTCAACCAACCTCTCGTCCTTGATCCTGTTCCCGGCCAAAGCTCTTTCACCGACAACAATGCTTTTTGGCTCTTTTCGATCCGGAACGCCCTCCATCGCTTAGCACATTTGATACTCGACATCACTCAAGGCCGCCGCCTCCAGCAATTCCTGCCCGGCTCGCCGGGCTCCCCAGGCCATTATCGGGTGGACCCCAATGCCAATTTCCCCACACATACCAGCAATGCGCTGACCCCACCTACCGCGCACGCTCTCGCTCTCGTGACCGCAACTCTCCTACCGCATCAGCTGACAACCACCTCCACACCACCTCCCGATCTCAATTGACACCACACGACGCCAATCCATCCAACGCCACCACACCTACAGCCCGCAGACATCGCGGCTCTCTACACCAACATCTATGGACAGCCTCTACCTCAGTCCTCTCCGACATACACCTGCAGCAGCGGCACCCGATAGCTGGGATGAACTCCCTTTTCGCAACACCTGACGATCGGGCCTAGCCATCTCACATCTCAACTATACTTGTGAGTCTAAATGTGAGCCACAAGGCCGTTTAAGTGATTTATTTTTTTAATGATTTTTCTGTTTTTTTATGATTTCACTATGTTTTGATTTATGTTTTTGTTTTTTGGCAGTTTTGTTATATGATTTTTTATGATTTTTTATGTTTTTTAATGTTTTCATTTATGTTTTTTTATGTTTCTTAATAAAGTACACTGTTTTTCATCAAATTTCCTTGATGCTTAAATGTCATTGCCTCTTCAGGGTTTCTGTTTCTGTCCTATTGTTCTTGTGTTGAAAAAATTGGTTTGTAAAGTATTGGTTTCCAGCCAAGTATATAAATGAAATAACTCACTCTGCAAAAGAAACTATGCAAACCCTCTCCCAGCAGTCAAAATTTGCCTGCAATCCGAATACAGGCCCTGGATATATGTCAATCACGCTAACCTAGCGCACTTTGCGTCCTATGTGAATGGTGTGGGTACGACCGGTAAAGCTTGAGGCAAGGCTCGGGCTTTAGGCTCTAGCAACGCAAACCAAGGCACTTTTGACTGCGTCGTAAAAAGCCAGACTTCTGCCTAGACGTAGAAATGACTGCTCCCAGTAAAACCAGCAGGCAGGCACTCAAACCAACAAACAAGGCACTGACCATGACCAGGAACACGACTAAGCTTCTCTCTGCCGCGCGTGCACACATGGCAAAATTCATAACATGAAAGGCCCCTTCCTCAGCGTCACAGGGCCGGCCACAGGCCGGGCAGACTTGGCGTTTGCTGCCCTGGCCAGCTCTAGGTGACCTCCCACCTGCCTCTTTGGACGCGGCAGCTCTCGAGGGGCCACTGCGCAACCTACAGACCTCGCCGCTACCTTCCCAGCCACCGCGCCGCGTCCTACCCACACCTGCGGAGACGCGCCGCGCGGAATCATAAAAAAAACATAAAAAAAATCATAAAT